GACGATCTCGCACCTTGGCATCGATTGCGACTCCGCGGAACGCTTTGGTCTTTGTTGTTCAGTGTCCTGCTGCAGGTCGGAATTACGCAGGAGGACTGCGGCAAGCGCAAGTGCAAAGACTGGCTCGATTTCCGAATGAACTGCACAAACAGCGACTCGATTTGTTTGGCGGTAGCAGGATGTGTCCTTCTGCGCTACCGACCGACAAGAATGTTGAAGGTGGTTTGGTTGCTTCCTGATTTGGCGAGGCCTTTACAAACGGCAGTTTGGCCTGGACGGCAAGATCAAGAAAGTGGATTACTGCGGCTAGTCACGACATGCTTGCGCGGGTTTCTGACTTTCCGAAGCATGGGAACGGCTGACGCTCCCAGGTGTCGAGTTTGACATCCATCCTGCTTGCGAAGCAAATTGCGAGGCCCGACCTAAGCTTTGGTCCTGACAGCAAGCATCTGCACCAACCATCCACCTTCGAATCGAGAACTCTGCTTCGGTCATCACTGCCCGTACATACAGGTTTATTGTCACGTGCAACTGCGTATAACTGTGTGGCCTCCTTGAGTTCCTCGCTCGTCGTTTTCCATTTGCTGCGGGCCCGGGCAGGTTGGTCACTGCCAGGACTTCTTGGCGAGTGGAGAAGAGGCATACCTCGGAGCCAAGGCAAAATCTCTGAGCTTGCTGCAAAAAGTTGTGACCTAGCACAAGTCGTGGAAACCTAAGGATTGGGATTCTGGCGTGGTCGCTGCGATCCGCGAGCAAACGAGCGACGCATTGAGATGGTTCGCACCTTCAATTCGTGCTTCAACAGTCTCAGATCGTATCTAGACTCTAGACCTGTCTGCAGATTCATTCAATGTTGTGATAGGTTGCATACTCTTTGGGCGTGCCCGGTGCTTTGAAGAGCCACGACCTCGTCGACGCTGAAGTTCTCGAGAGGCCCTGCCCGCTCTCGCCACTCGGCCGACCAAGGCCCAGCTTCGAGCCAAGCGCCCCACCAACCTACCACTGCAGCTCTCTTAGTCTTGCATTTCGCATGGCTCCGAAGGAAAGGGACCAGCTGGTCATGCCAACCATTGGATGGCCACGGTCCATATTGCTCCTTGGCTTAGTTGGCGGATGCCCATGCCTTGCCTTTCCTTTTTGGAAGTTAAGCATCTATCAGCATGGCATCTGGCAGGCACGCGGAGCTATAACGGAGCCTGTGACCGATGCTTTATTCCAGGCGTGTGTGTCGGTAGAATTTTTGGCGCCTTTTTGCTCGACATGGCCGGCCAATGCTGACTTCACAAGCTGCTCGGTCAGGTGTGGTGGACGGAGTGGCGCCAAAGCCTTGGTGTCCGCTGGATATCCTGAGCTCGCCCACATATGCAGAACTTGGGTTGAAATTGCGTCATGACACGAGGGCACGTTTCTGGCCTAGTCCTCCGGTGTGGTTTTTGCTCCGTCTGATTGCGCTTACAGGAGTTTTCAAGCATATTCAAAGAGCATAGTTTGCAAAAGCCCTGTGCGCAGCCGACTGTCCAAGGACATGCCGAAGAGCCTTGGCTGTCCTCTGGTCCTGGTTGTCTGAAGTCAGCAATGCGTTCGCAGAGCGGAGCATGGCATAGCATGGCAACTTGAACGAATGTCGAAGGCCGAGCTGCAAGAGCCGCGCTGCATCCGACGGCTGCTGTTTGTACACCAACACCTGCGTGGACCTCAACGTCTCGCGAGCTGGGGGAACTTGTCGAACCGTGTCGATGGCTCTTTACCGGCACTCGCTTTGGCAAAAGGTGACGGGACATCGGATCCTTCCAGCGCAGACCTGACAAATGATGGCATGGCTTTGGTGGCTTCACGGCCTGCGCCTCTGCGGGATGACAGGGAGCGTTTCGGTTCGGTGGCCATGGACAAGATGTGCAGGAGGAGCACGGCCGACATGGAGCAATTCCTGCGGCGTCGGGGGCCTAGCCGATCTCAGACACTGCCCCAGTCTTGTGCCAGTTTTTCCAAGGCGCAGCGTCCCAGGACCATCGCTTTGCCGGTTTGGGCCTGGCGGGGCTGAACATGTCTTGGCCTTGGCTTCGACCTTTGCCTCTGCCATCCTCTGCCCCTGCCTGAGTTGTACGGCGGTACTCGACGGCGGTGCTCAGGAAGTGGGCGGCCTACTTCGCTTGGAGCCCGGCTCCTCTGGACCGAACTTTGCACGAGGCCGACTCCGAAGCCTTGGCTTTCACGTGCGCAGATGCAGCAGAGATGCCCCCGAAGGCCTTGGAAGAGCTGAAGACGTTCTTGTCGTCGGAGACGCCGGTGATTACCCAGTATGTTGGGCCCTAAAGATGCTCGTGGCTGGTGAGAATTGGGGAGCTTCTGAAGGGATGGAAGCTAGTTACAGTTTCGAGCTTTGAGGCGACAACCACGACAACTACAGTGATCAAGATACCGGTCGCCGGGCCCCACGCGACAACGCCGTCCTCACTGAAGTGTGCAGAAAGCGATGCGCTTCGCTTCAATGATTCAAGTTTCGTCCTAGCAGCTAGCTATTGGAGGGAACCCTTGTGCTTGACATGTTCAGCTAAAAGCTGCTCGGTGATGAGCACTGCATTGCATAGGCATGCAAACATGAGCCACGCCTGGCAAGAAAATGACTTGGGTTGAAGCCAGGTTTCCTTCATGCCTTTGGACATGCCTGAAGTTCCAATGATATTGACGACCATCGCAGATTGCAGAAAGAGATGTTCTGAGCAACGGGGTTGTGCCCTGGACTGTCTCTGGTGCCATACGTGTGTCGAAGTTATGAGTCTTTGTGCCTGCTATTGCCTGCTCTGAAAGAGACCGTCCATACCCGAGGTTTTCACTTCTCCTTCTTGGTTGCTCCAGGCTTGGAACAGGGCAGCTGCCACTTGGCCGGCTTTTCTGCGCTTGCAGAGGCGCGGGTGAAACCAAGCGCAGACAGGGCTGCTTTGAGACTTTCCCGCGAGAGAGGCCTTCAGCCCATCGTGGATTTCAGGACCCCCAGAATGCTGGGCTGATATGGAGGCGGGGTTGACGGGCTGTGCTTGGGCACACGCACCGAGCAGCATCATATCTCAGGAGAAAAGCCTGTTGATTGACAAGGGCCATAACACTTACGCATCTGGCCTGCAGATGGCTCGTTGCGACGGAAATTCAGTTGGCGATCCAAGGTACCGGTTGACTTTGCCTGCATGTCCTGGGGGAGCTCCTTCCCAGCCACAGTTGGCGCCCTGACCACTTTGGCCGCCAAGGACTGCCAAGAAATAGGAAGCAAGGCGCTTTGAAGCGCGAGGGTCACACTATGTGTAGCAGCATACGGAGTGTGAGTAGGAGCAAGCACTAACGACCGGCCCGGCATGGTGTCTCTGCTCGATCGTCTTTCGACTTTCGAGTCTCCCAGACGCCCCCTCTTCACCGTCAACCGCTCTCTTTTGTTGTGCAGGACTTTCCGAAGGAGCAAGATGCTGTCCTGTCGGTTAGCTGCACTGGCTGGAGCTAGCTTTACATCCTGAGTCCGTCTGGATAGTGTTCGGAGTCCTGACCGTACAGTAATAAGTCAGCATGAACGCCCACCCAATTGCGAGGGAATGCCAAAAGCGCTGCCGCGACAACGAGAACTGTGAGCACTTCACAGCCCCTCTGAGATGTTTTTAACATGGTTTTTTTCCACAGGATTCCGGAAAGACTCATATCATCACTGCGATCTGAAGGTGACCTTCCCTCTCAGAACTTGTGCCCTTGCCGGTGCTGGAGCCGTGGTCATGGATGGCATTGCAGGAGCAATATCCGGACCACCAAAGTGCCTCGAGCAGAATGGAAGTTGGATCTTGTGGTACGGCAGCTGAGAGCAAGTCTGGTGCTGCAGCAGGTGCGGCGAGAAGGCGATGCAGCATCTCAGCTTTATTCATGCGGTGTTTGCGCCTCCATGTGTTGGGCTTCTTGTGATGATTATAGGCATATGCCGATATGGACGCAAGCATGGACTGTCCAGTGCCCAGGTCCTTTTATTGGGAGGTTCTCCCTGCGTATGCGCAGCTACCATCAAGATGGAGGTTGCCGTTTGGTGCGAGACTTCACTGTCACAGGAAGCACTGGAAGCAGTCCATGCCGAGCTTGCACTGGGTGATTGCTATGATTTGTAGCGACAAAGGAACGTGATTTTGGGTGGTGGTCTGCTTGCGGCTGGTGTCGCATTCTTTGCGTGGGAACCTCAGCACTCGAAGGGCTCCCGTCTCTCGATTAATGCAGACGCTTGCTTGTCAGATTCCGTCGCCGACAGCCTCAACGTACGGTGCGTGGTATTGAGAGAGCTTTGGTGCCGGAGGAGGCCGAATGGTCGCCGTTAGAGGAGGCGGAGGAGGGACAAGCTGCCGCGTAGTTAATGCAAGCTGCCACAGGAGAGGCCCTGAACCTACTAGCTTGGCAGGATCTGGAAATGACAGTGTTGGAGTGAGATCCGGAAATCGGCGCTGCATGGCCAAGTCATGTCTCACGCACCGCTTTCGTGCAGGGGTTGCCAAAGCAGCCTTTGCATGCAGGGATGTGTCGGCTTACAAAGAATAAAGCTGTGCATCCAGGCCTCGGATCTGCAGACATGGGCAGGCACCTGCCAGTACTGCGATACTTAATGGCTTAATTCACACTCAAGCGGGGCCTCGCTCGCCCAGGAACCTGGGCAACCTGTACAGTACCTCGCTTGAGGGCCAAGCCAGTCGATCGGCCGGATCTGATGTTGCACGGCTGGTGACGGGAAGATGGCACAACCTTTGTTCGCTCGCAGCTTTGTAGACACGCGGTCGCACCTCAACGTTGTAGATTCGGCTTGGCATTGTGCGCCTTGCTTTTGCCCAGAGTCACCCATGAGGAGACATGACATCTGCAGCCAAGTTCGCGAGTTAAGCTGCACATGCCAGCCATCTCACCATACAGTGCTACAAGTGCTACAGCTCCGTGTCTTAGGCCTTCGGCAAGAAATCATTCGTAGTCACTGCTCGTTGCAGAGTGCCAACATGGCGCAAGCGGGTGAAGATGAAAGCAAGCTGCACCATCAAAAGATGGCAGAGCTCAGCAACTTTCCACAGCGACTCAGGCTGAGAAAGCGATGCATTGCGTGCTTCCAGAAGGATTGCATCACCTTGTGTGCCGTGGCCACGAAAGCAGCATCTTAGGTACCTTCCCGCGGAAGTGCGAGACGGGTTTCTTGCAGACACAACAGCCCGGCAGGGTTTTGTTCTCCGGCTCCTGTCTTGCGCCTTGACGGCACTTAAAAAACCGCAGCTTCGCTTCTTTCCTTGAGGCCACGCTTGAACACAAGCGTGACGTGTGGCCCCCCGCTCCGCTGCTCTGAGGCGATCCAGCGCCTCCCGACTCTACGGAGGTTCTTTTCGGCTTGAAGTGTCTGAAGATCTTGGAGGAATTGCAGGCACCGACTACACTCGACTTCAAGCTCGCAGTGCTCCGTGCGCTTTGGAAGCTCATCATCGCAGGCTCAACGTCACGGCCCGGACGCCCGTTGTATGGGTATTCTGCAAGTGCCAAGATCCTCGAGAGCTTCCGGACATGGTTGCACTTTACAGACGCAGAGCACATCCTGCCAATTTGGCGGGACGAGGTTTCGAATCAAGAAGAGATTGCTCAGGTAGATGCTCTTCGGAGAGAAGTGGATGTACGGGTACCTCTTCGCTTGATTTTTGAGGAAGTCCGTAAGAGCCCACGGACCGACTGTTCCGCAAGCAATTCAAAGCGCAGAAACTATGTACTTCAACTTGTGAACGTTTGTTCAACATTCGCCAACTTCCACGGTTGCATCCCAGTTGAAGCTGCAGTGGAATTAACGGCGGAACTGGCCAAGGAAGTTGATAGTCTGCACGTATACTCTCTCGTCTACGCCAAGATGCTAGCCTTCACCACGCCAAGGGTCATGACACCGCAAATAATCTTGGATGGCAGACTGTGGTCGTGGTGGTCAAGGTTGCCAGAGGGCCTAATTCCGAAGTTTGACCTCATGTGGTTCCACTCGCTGGGCAGATATGCGGAGCTCCACTGGGCCAACAAGGTAGAGGATGCCTTGAGCCAAACGGGCTCTGCGGGTAGGGCTGAAGAGTGTTTCAGCAAGCTTCAAGAGCAGCTACCGTACTTGATGAACAAGATTGCTCGTACACTCTGCATTCCCTTCGGATCTCCGGCTGCCAAGGCGGTAGATGGAAATAAAGGGGAGAGGGCTCCAGATCTGGACCGTTACCCAATTCCAGAAGAAGTTGATGCTGTGTTCATGGGCAGCCAGACTGCCTGGAGGGAGGTCTCCATCTTTCTCGTATATCTGCTGGAGCCAGCTCCCCCAGCGCAGCCTTCCTCATCGAACATATGGACGCTTTTGACATTGCTCCTGCGTCGCATGCGGCCATTCATCACACCCGCAACTTCGCAGGGAGAGTGGCTATGGCACTGCACAACACTTATGCACAACCTGACATCGCAGTACTTCAAACGGATCAGTCGAGAGCGTTTGCTGGCCACGACTGCCCCCAAGGCTAAGCACTTGACAGCAGAAGCCGACCAAGCTTTCCTGAAGCTGCTGCTACCTTTGGTGCGTGACCTCTTGACCGTGCGATCAGCGCATGAGGTAGTAACTTCGCTGGACAATCTGTCGAGGCTCACCAAAATTTCCGCAATGCAGCCAGGATTGGTTGCGTTTGACCCGTCTTCCTCCATTGACCCCTTTCGTGTCGACTTCCAGTCGATGGTCGTACAGGCTACTGAGGTGCTGAATGATCCGTCAATGTCTGGGAGACATGCTACGCTTCTGCGGGTCTTCGTCTCCATCATGCCAGCTCTGACCTGCCAAATGCCGGCTGTGGTTGGAGAGCTGCTCCCTTTGACCTTGCTCGGGATCGACCCGACCGATGTATCAAAGACAATGTGTGCCCTGAGGCTATTGACGTCAGTGTTTTCTCAGATGCCTTGTTTAGACATGAATGACTGGGAACTCAGAGACAAACCCACTGGCAGCGCTTTCCGCCACATCCAGTGGCCACTTCCAGCAGATGCCCAAATGGAGAGTGGAGACCCCGACTACAGTGCGACTGGCATTGTTTCGTCCATGTTGCCGGCCTTCGCAGTCGAATTTGTTCAACGTGCCTGCGACTATGTCACAAGAATTCCCAAGCCACGAGGTGCCAAACAAGGCAAGATTTCAATGGAGGGTACTTGCACAGGCTTGCTGCATGGAGCTCTTTGCCTCGTAGCCACCCAGACAGACAAAGAAACGTATAAGCAGATGGTGGAGGAGGTGTCCCAGTTTGTGAGCAGCAACCTACTACCAGATCAAGTGAAACCTGCTGGCCAGGTTATATTTGCCATTGCTCGTGCATCTCCGGAGATCTCGCTCTCCATGATGCTGCCGATGTTCTTCAAGAAGATTCTTGCTAGTCGATCAACAGCAGTACCCCTTCATGAAATAGGGGTATCTGAGAGCGAAGCCAAATGGTTCCTGTCACTTCTCAGTTCCTTGGTACGGTCAGGCGGGTCATGCTTGCTTGCGCACAAGACGCAGCTGGAGCTTGTGATAAGATCTGCACTGTTGGATGAGCGGGAGGCGGTGACCAAGCTTGGCATGAAGCTTCTCCGCCGCGTCCTGTACGCGATCACGGCCATCTACGTAGAGACTGACTACAGGCTTTGTGACTCCAGTGTGTGGCAGGGGTTGATGGACTGTCGACGCAGCAGCAGCACCACCGACGGAGCAGCTCTGTCCTGCTTGCTGTGGTCGGGGGTCAAAGGGCCCTGGTGGTTGCGGGAGGCCTCTCCAAGCGCCTTAGCATCCGTCAGCTGGCATGTGCCCTCTGAGGAGGAAGTGGCCTGGGCACGAAGCTTGGTCTTCGGGGCCCTTGACCAAGCTGGCAAACTCCTTAGCTCCATCATTGAGGTTCCAAGTCTAAGTGGGGGAGGCTTTCCAGAGGGTCCCAGCTGGCTCGATGGGTTAGCCACTAGCTTGCCCCCGAAGAAGAAGTTCGCGTATGGCATCATTCTCGCAACCCGCCTGATCAATCAGGTTCTGAGGGGCACATCTGACCTGTGGCCAGACGAGCGCAACAGCGATGAACTTGAGGCAAGGCAGCTGCCAAAGAACCTCAAGGTGGCTGGCGATACTGCAGAGGCTATCTATGGGTGGCTCTTCCCGGTTGTTCTGTCTGCATTCAACGAACTGGCCGTTCAAGAACAGTACGGTGTTGCTCAAGCCGGTAAGTTGGACCAGATTGACGTTTCGAGGGTGATGCGGAAACTTCTCAAGTGCGTCGCCGAACTGAGCAGCGCGTGGAGGGACGTCCACCCTAGCAGCCTGCGACTCTTCCCGAGCCTGCGCCATGTCGACAAGGAAGCTCAGGCCCTCGCATGGCATTCCACATCCATGGATCAGCTTCACCCTCACTCGAGATGGCGCGATCTTCCCCGGGTGTGGTGGGTGGAGCGCATCGCTGAAACCATGGAAGGTCGTGTCCACGAGCGTCGATCCGGATTCCGCTATTGCGGACAGCGCCGGAAGCTGGTAGAAGCAGTTGCGAGACAGATTTTTACGAGCGGCTTTGAACCAGTCCGTGCTAGGGCGCTTGAGATTGTCACCATGTCAATCCAGCATCATCAGGGCGGCCGATGGCCTCTGGTTCGTGATGTTCTGCTGCCTGCATTGGCGAAGGAGACTCAGGCCGCCGCCCAGTGCTCGTCCCTGACGGGTGATGGTGCGGATAAGGAGCAGCAGCGTCTCAACGATTCCTTGTGTGGTCTTGCATCAGCCCTCGGCGGGCGAATCAATGGCCTCATAGGTGGTGTCTGGCGGCGTGGTGGCTGCCTCAGTGAATGCTGAGGGCTTAGGCTGCGCTTCGTTTCTTGCTTGTGGCAGACTTCTGTAGCTTTGGAATCACCGAGGCATTGATGATGCTGCGACGGTCGGGCTTGGACTTTGTGAAGCCATCTATGCGGCAACGCAGTTGAATGCTCAGTCTGGAAGCTCTTCCCCGCCAAGCGACACCAAAGAACAGAAGTGCGAAGTCAAGCCCAACACTGTGGCAAAACTGATTTCGGCGTTGAGGCATTGGCTCGATTGTCGTGAGGTTCAGTGCTGGGCGGAGACACGCCAGCGCTCCGACACACCCTTACTGCAAGACGAGAATGTCGATGAATCTGAGCCGGCAGCTTCCAACAAAATCGCTCGTGGAATGAAGGCAGTTCGAACAGTTGCAAAAGCTTTGCAGATGTGCGAGCGTGGAGATTGCCACTGGAGAGCACAGATCATGGCGTCGACGGTGAGCCTTGCTTTGTTGAATTCACTAGGCAGCCTGGGCCTTCCACCAAGCTTGACAGCGGAGGAGACTGCGGAAGTGAAGATGGTTTGGTCACAGTGGGGGCGTTGGCTCGTGAAGTGCATGGACCCGAAAGGTCAGCCTGGGCTTCATGCACTGGCTGTGCACAGCCTGCAGCTCATGCTGAAAGCATCTCCCCTCAGCCAGTCGGAGTTTGCTCAACTGAGAGTGCAGGATGCGGCCTTTTACAACAATCTCCTGAAGGTGCTGCCCCCGTTGAATCATGAGGAATTGATGGTAACGGCAGATGACCAGGTGGGGCAGAAGAGTGAGCCCACGAGGGGACCGGTGAATGTGATGGTTCATCACGGTTATTTTGATGTTTGGCCCAGAATCTGGCTTCGAAGATCATCACACGCCTTCTCGCTCCAGAATGCGTTGTTCTGGCAGAGTTATGCAAAAAGGCTCACGGCTCTGTTAAGCGGTCAAGAACTGGTGGAGCTGCTCCAAAAAGGAGCTGAGGAGCTGGCATCTCAGCCCGTCGCTGAAGCTGAGTACCATGCTGCTTTCGCTGAATTTTCGGCAGGAGTGCTGCGAGCTGTGCGCAAGCCGGAGATGCTGGAGCTCCAGAAAGATCTGTGGAACCAGTTGCGGCCCCTGTTCCTGTCAGCGCTGCAGCAGTCTTCAGAGGAACGTCTTGGGACGTGGTGCGATGCAGTTCGCTACATTGCGACTGGCTACTCGCGGCCAGATCTCTCCCGCATGTTTGCATCAAAATCACTCGTGGAGCCAGACGGGGCCTTGCAGTACTTGACCCCTCTGTTCAACTTCGTTGTCGGGGGCGAAGGCGAGCTTGCATTCGACGCTCTAAGTTGCACGCTACCTCCCATCCGGCTGCTTGCCTGCGAAATTTGGATGCATGACAAAGATACACGGGGTATATCGCTAATGAGACACACAACAAGGCCCAACCGGTCTGACGACAGCTGGGCAGGCAAGCTTCACAGCGTAAGCTGACGAAGATATGTCAGAATTCAGAATCTCGTGGGACACCAGGGAAGCTGCCGGACTCTCAAGAGGACGACCGGAGCATGCCCCTAGATGCTCGACACCGTTGTAGCCCGATATGATAAATCACAAGTGTTTGGTTCTACTAGTTTCGGTAGTACATGGCGCCCTCAACAAGCGAGCTTTGTTAACAAAGGCATTCCAGCTGTTTCAATCGTTCCTGAATCGCAGGTGCCAGGCGCAGTGCTCCCAACTGCAATTTCCGCCTGCTGGGATTTGCCATTGCCATCCACTGCCCACAGTGACGGCCAAGGGCTTCCAAACTATCCCAAACTAGTGTTCCTAGCACGAAGCTCGTTGCCGCACGTCCTAGTTAGTCCTAGTTCTCATTCAGCTTGAAACCCTCCAGGGTTCATGCAGAATTGCAATCAAGCCAGAAGTGGAACTTTGGAGGTCCTTCGGATGTCAGGCTAGACCCCGGTTGTGCGTGCGCTGAGTCTTGAGTAGCGCATCGTCACGGAGGAGGTGGCCACACAAACGAAGGCCGCGGCAGGCCACGAAGGCAAGAGATCGCTACGCGCGTGTGCGCACAATCTACTCAGTTCCCAAGTCCGGATCCCCCGACATCCCGCTGTGCGAAGTTGAGCCCTCACAACAAGGCGTGGATAATGATCAATCCAGCCGAACCTCCAAGACTTTCTGGTTCTCAGGCCCAACCTAGAAAGTGATCCTTTGGTTAGCGTGGTGTTGTAGCTCGACTGCTTCCGTTGAAGAGGTGCCTGCAGAGGAGACACATCTGATGTCCTCTGCGAGACCAAATAATGATAGAGGCGAAGCGTTTGCATGTGGCCTTCAATCCGATGTTGAAACATGGAAGGAATGTCTGCAGGGCTCGGGCCATCGTCTTTGCATATCCGCCGGCGGCAGCGTCTTCCGAGCTTTGGGGGGTGGTGGCCAGTCCAGACCGGAAGAGATGTTGACAATTCTCAGCCCACCCTGCCGTTAGCAGGCGCAGTTACCGTGACAGGTGAAAATGCTTGAATGCTGGGTACGGAAACTCGGGGATTTTGTTCCCGGAGTGGCTGCAATTCACACCATGCGACATGTCATTCAAGCCCAACCGTATGCGAGAAGGGTAGGTCAGGTAAGTGGTTTCAGCTATGTACACGGAGGCATACTCATCGTGTGGAAGGCTTCGGCCACATGCATACCACAGAAAAGGTGCAGGCATCCACATGTACATAATACAGTAATACATACATAGACAATGTATACATGCATGCATGTGCTGGTAGTGTGAAGTCTGGAAATTCGGGAGTGGTGTCGTGCTGGTGGAAGGCAAATGTGCCTAGCTTCGCCTCTGGAAACAGGAAGTTTTTCCTCATGTCGCTGTAAGCCTCTCCTGAGTTGCTCGAGTGTGAATGCTAATATCCATGGAGATACAGATTAGATTGGTTGAAACCCAAACAGAATAGAATAGAACCAGGTTAAATTCATTATATAGATCAGAAAGGTTAGATTGATTAGATACACACACCGAAAAGTGTTCGTGCACAACGATGCGGTGATGGAGAGGGCGAGAAATTTTTATGGTGACTTCAAGTCCCAAGTCGAGCACAGAAATGCGCTCTGACCATGTTGCACGGTTCTGCTGTTGGTGATGGATGTGTCATCTATTTCAGTGCACCTGAACTTCAGAGAACGCAATTGATAACTTTTCAATGTTGGGTTCGAGGCCCCTTCTGCAAAGGGATGGGAGATGCTGTGGGGAAGGCTCTGTGACGACTCCTTCCCTGCACTCACTCCTCTTTTCATCGATGGGATCCCTCGCCGATCATGTTCCCAGGTTTGAATACGATGAGAAGCTGTCCGACGGTGACAAGGGCTCTTCCTTCGACTCCTTCAAGCGCTTGCGGCTCTTGATGTCACTGCTAATCGAGCCCTCTGCGACCAAGATCTTGGCTCAGAACGAGAGCTTTTGCAGGAAGCTAGTGGAAACCTTGGAGCAGGGACTAGGCCACCCGTACAAGCAGCTGCGTGAGGAGGTGGCTCGGGGCCTTTTCTTCATCGTCCAGGCGGCCAGCCACCAAAAGTCCGACTTCGACACGCCGGAGACCGGACTGAAGTTGGTGTCTGCGCACTTGGAGACCTGGTTTTGTGCAGAAGCACAAAGACTTACACCGTTGCTTCAGGCTGATAACGCAGCACACACCGCCGAGGGAGATGAGGCCGCGAGACCGAAACACGTCGTCGAGAGCTCGGGCCTAGTTTATGTCCTGTTACATGCATCGTTGGCAAGATTTACCTCGACTCGCCTTCGCGAGTCAGCATCTGAGCTGCTGGGATTTCTCGTAGCAGCAGCTGCACACGGGGACCTCGAGCTTCGAGCGATTGCCCCACACGCCCTTTCTCTGTGTTGCGCTGCGCACCCAGTCGCGCCCGGCGGTCCCGGTCCCGGGAATCACGACAAGCACTGGACAAAACTGACAATGGTGAAGGCATTGAACTCCCTTGTCAGCGATGGCATTCCGGATAAGGAGTTGGAGAAAGCCTTGGCAGCAGGCCTGAAGCCAGCTGTCATGGCAAATTTCTTTGTGCTTCTTACTGGTGGTCCTGAAGCACGCTCTCTGTATTCCGAGCTACGCTCAGCTGCAGAGCGGTCTCTGGGCAACAGTAAGCCTGAAATTCGAACAGCGTCGCGCGGTGCCGTTGCGAGCTTCTTGACGGTAGAAGCAGAGCCGGAGATTCGTTCGCGCCTGAAATCGCTGAAATCTATGGCAGGAGCTCCCGGCAAGCGTGACGAGACCAAAGCAGAAAACGGCGACTTCTGCTCGGTTGTTAGCACCATGGCCTGCATGCTTTTGGCAGCTGCAGACTGCGGGGTGCCGCAGTGGTCTGGCCTCGCAATTCAGACCGTGGCGCCGTATGGAAAGCCAGGCATACAGGAGGCAGCTCGCAAGGAGGTGCAATCTGCCATCCAGGCATTTCTCAAGCTGCAGCAATCAAGCCAACAGACATGGAAGGAGTGCCAAGACAAGCTGACATCCTCGCAGCTCGAGCTGCTGAATGACAACAAGGGCAAACTGTCCTACTTTTCATAGGTGTAGTGTAGCAGTTTTGCAACGGCATCGCCGTAATGATATCAACGAGCGCGACCTGCAGTACTTCCACAGACTGAGGTTGCATTGATTGCAGTTTTCGCTCCTGCCGTCGCAGCAGAGTCTACGAATGTAGAAATATGTAGCAGTGTTGTGCACAGATAATTTGGACCTAGACAGCTGCTGAAGCGTTGTCGCGAAAAGGTTTGCATTCTTGGGCTGCGCCAGTCGTCGACGCAGTGCACTGAAATTGCATCGAACCGCACAGCGGAAGGTATTCGCAAGCATTCCAAGCGGAACCTCATGCTGACTTATTACTGCCGGGCCATGCACCGGATTGTACTGCACATGCTGAGCAGTGGCGCTTCTGCGCAAGCATCGCAGTCCAGGAAGAGAAAACAACCCTCCGAGTACCACGGCGCATGCACAGAGAAAGAAACGTGGCATACTCCACCATGCTCATTCCGACTCCTCCGAGAGAAGATGAGGCAGCTTTATGGGCGTCTTTGTGAAGCAATCCGAAGCTCCATGAACTTCCGCTTGTCGTGAGAGGTCGGGATCTCGGAATACCTTTCTCCAGACGTGCCTGGGTTTTCCGGTGGGCCACTCGGTGTTTCAAAGGTTGTTGCGTGGTAGCACTGCGAAGAGAACATGTCGGTTGTGAGGCATCTTCAAGTCGCTGTGGCAGGAGTGACTCGCAGCGATGAAGCACAGCGACATGTTGCATCTGTACAGCACAAGCAAGACCAAAAGAGAGGGAAGGACAGCCTCCATGAACTTGTGAGCCTTGAGACTCGCAGCCTGACCCAGGTCCGAGTTTCTTAAGGGTCACCTCGCGGTCCAAAGCTCGATGTGTCAAGCTTAAGTTACCACTAATGTTGACCTTTAATAACCCCCCCCCTCCCCCCCCCTCCCCCCCGATTGATTTGGCGCCCGGGGTGGGGGGGATTGACTATTGAGGGGGGGGTCGGTCGTCGTAGTACACTAGTATAGTATCACAATCGTACAGTAGTAAAGTACAGTAAAAGTACAGTAGTAGCACAGCCTCTGAGTCCAGCTCTTCCGGCTCCGGCGGACAAGGCACGTTTGGTAAAGTACCAGCAATGAACAATGATCCTGCTGTCCTCTCCCTCCTCCTTTGAAAGCCGAAGCTTTCGCAAGCAAGGGCATGGCTGCTAAAGGTAGGTTATTCCAATCAACGACTCTGCTCCCACAGCTTGCTTTCCTTTTGAATCCAGAGCTTTCCCAATGAAGGGCATGGCCTGTAAAGCTTGCTGTCCTTTTCAAGGCCTTTAAAGGCACCACCAAAAGGCCCTCCCCGGCGGGAGTTTATAATTGAGGGGGGGTTTATAATTGCGAAGAGCGGCCTTTGTTAGTACTCCACCAGGATGGATTGATTTTTGGCTCCGGGAATAGGGAACTGTATTAAGGAAGGCATGGTTTCTGAGGCACGCTAAATCTGCGGTTTCGGAGTCCCGTGGCTTTGGAAGCTAAAGCTTTCCCAATGAAGGGCATGGCTTCTAAAGCAAAAGGCCCTCCCCGGCGGGAGTTTATAATTGAGGGCGGGTTTATAGTTGCGAAGAGCGGTCTTTGTTAGTACTCCATCAGGATGGATTGATTTTTGGCTCCGGGAAAAGGAATTTTATTAAGGAAGGCATGGTTTCTAAGGCCCTCTAAATCTGAGTAGCTGCAGTTTCTCTCTCTCTGCAGACCTGAGGCAGTCGTAGTAGTCGCAGTTTTTCCTCTTTCTGCAGACCTCAAGCACTCCTAGTAGCTGCAGTTTCTCTCTTCCTCTCTCTTTCTGCAGACCTGAAACAGTCGTAGTAGCTGCAGTTTCTCTCTCTCTCTCTCTCTCTCTCTCTGCAGACCTCAAGCACTCGTAGTAGCTGCAGTTTCTCTCTCCCTGCAGACCTGCAGCTGTCGCAGTAGCTGCAGTTTCTCTTTCTTTCTCTCTCTCTCAAACAACATAGAACAAGACAGAACAACAAGTACCTAATTTCGGGGATTTGGGCCGGGGGGTTTTGTAATTGAGGGGGGGTTTATAATTGAGTTCCGGGTGTGGGGTTTTGTAATTGAGGGGGGGTTTATAAAAATGAGGCTAACATTACTGTCAACAGTACCCTGCACTAGTGCAACCGTGCAGCCGGCGAGCACCGCATTGACGCGAGCGCAGGCGGCCGGCAGGGTTGCACACCGACTGACAATGGCCATCTGTCAGTCCTCGACCACTGAGGGCGCCCCCCAGACAGCAGAGCTGCTATCATTCATCGACGTGCTGCCCCCATGGACCGGATCAACAGTAACCGACACCAAATACAAACACCAATCGAACAAAGACTGTTTCACGTCCCCCTCATCGCAGACGAGCACAAGCACTGACGAGTGTGTAGGAGGGCAAGCATGGCAAGCATACATTTAAGAGCAGCCCTAGGCGTCGTGACAATGCATGCGAACTCAACTTCTTTGCTAGACTTGGTTGGGCAGCCGCTTGCCGACCAGTTCGCAACGCAGCACACAAGGGGCACCGTATCATGAACATTCACTTACCAGCGTTCCAGCATCAGCTCGCATTTGCAGGGCACCGCCGTCCCGTAAGTCCCACTCCCTTTCGTCTGCTCTGCTTTCATGTAGACGCAGGATGAATAAAACTAGAAGACGCAGACAGACGGACCGACAGATGCAGGATTTCCACGTTCACGAGGTTGACCCGCATGGTGTTCGGCCCTCGGCCCTTCCTCCCCGGGCTGGAGGGCCGCAGAGCCACTCCCAGGTGGAGCTGCACCTGAGCGAGTTGATCAGTCCTGGGGCGGTGGCCGCAGAGCTGAAGAAAGCAGCCGAGGAGAGCTCGCCCTACTTTACCGGAGTCGCAAGACTTGCGTCGACTCGCACCGCAAAGCTTTCCAAACGTCACATCCCAAGGCGACGAGAAGCTCGAAGCGCATTGGGTCCAGACTTTGCGTTCGAAGCGTCGGCAGAAAACGTCCAGCTCTGAGTCCGAGCAGTCAGTCGGAAAGAGTTCAAGCGAGACGGCTGCTCCGGACACCAAGGACTTGCGAGAAGCGCTGGGACAAAGTATTCTAGAACAGCTTCTCAGTCCAGCCCGGCTTGTTTGGGTTCTCCGTTGATAGATGCCGGCTTTGACACGCTGTATGATGGTAGCCTTCCTGAAGAAGCAGCAGTCGCAGCATACCGAAAGGGGCCAGGCCAGGCCAATCTCGAGTTGGTAGCGATGTTGAGAGCACGGCATTAAATGCAAGGAGCCGGAAGAAGCGTCAAAGGACGGTTCTCCTGCTGCGGTGGCGGAGCCTCCTGGCTATGCGACCCGCCCGCAGCCGCCTGCATGCGTGCAGGGAGGATGCGCTCACACAGACAAGCACACGGACAAAGATGCGATTCCCAACATAGGTGGACTTGAGCGCTGAAGAGATCAGCGACGGATCCAAGGAGGCTTAGGGTGGAGGCTGCAACTCCTGGTGCCTTGAAGTGGATGTGACAAGGCTCGGAAAAAGGCTCACCAAGTCGTTCTGAAGCATTTTTCCAGCTTTCTCAACACAGAAACAGTGCGGTCCTTGGTTGGTACCAGCCCTTTGCAGCGAGGAGACGTGCTCCCAAGGTCGAGGCCGATGGCAGCCGCTGTATCCGCGTTTGGATGCGTGAGGCGACGTTCCGCGACATGCTTCAAAGCAGCTGCCGAGCTGCCTTCGAGCTGCCGAGCTCGACGCTTGTCAGGCCGAGCGGAAGGCCAAAGCGCCGACCGCAGCCACGCCAATCCCACAGAGCCGGATGTGGTTGCATCGTTGTACTTTGAATACGGAACAGTGGTACGGGGTAGATAAGTTCAGGTCCGGCGATGTCAGCCACACTGGCCAGGATTTCAGGAGCATGCCAAGCACGATGGCAAAGCCTAGGCAAAGCGAAGTCCCACTTTGTTTTTGGCAGGTTCTGGCAAGGGAGCCAAGAAAGGAAAAGGAAAGGCTGGGAAAGGCCCGCTCAGGCGATTACGATGCAGGCATTCCTTAGCTCAGTGACAGGGCGAGGCAAGAGCAAGGGGAAGAGTGGCAAGAGCGAAGGTGCGACGCCTGATAGAGCATGCAGAGATCTACATGTTGTGCGCGGAAGGGCCTCCATCGGAAACTGTCCCCTCGGCTTTTGGGACAATGAGAAGAGAGGGCTGGCCGAAAGCTTCAGACCTAGTTGGCAAGTCGCAGAGATTCTCGGAAGGTTGCCGAACTTGTTTGGGTCCCAACAGGACAGACCTGACTATTTGTATTTCCGCCTGTACAAGGAGAGTCTTGGCTTGCTCGAGCAAACATTCGAACTATTCGTGCTATCTGTACAGACTTCTTATCCAAGGAACTGCGACACAGGGGAGGCAGTTTCTAGCATTGCACGTTGCGTTGGAAGATCTGCCGGAGCCCCATGTTATCTCCCACTGCGCAGATAAAGAGGTGCAGACATTGACACTGTGTGTCTGTCTTCATGCGGGTCCCAGTGTTCGCTTTAAGTTTGAGATTCCTTATTGCACTTGCCCAGGAAGAACAGGTTAGACCGGGTATCGTGTTAAAGTTTAAAGGGTTGCTGAAAATTTTAGTAAACTCGCCAGGCATTTCCTGGTCCCGGGGCTATCTCGTATCGCCTGGGTGTTTTACGTATCTGCAACGCGTGGAATTTCCCCGCTGATGTGTACTCTCCCCAACCCAGTGCCTCCCGGCATTGATGTGTATTCTCACCAGCTGATGTGAGATAACACCAACGCCAGCACCACTTCTACCATCGCATTGTCCTGCACAATTCAGAACGATGGTAGGATTCACGTTCTTTGTTCTCGCTCGCCTAGCATGCAGCACCAGTCTTTCACACGAGGTTATCTGCTTGCAGAAAGCCTGCGAATGTTCCACGCGAGATGTTCGAAAGCTTGTTCCTGGTTACTGAGCTACCAAACCTGCCTGTTGCGGAAGTGAAGCCATTGTCCAGAACCGTGCACCCAGCAGTTCTTTGCAGCATACTTTCCGTCGAATCTGCCACAAACCTCCGCTTGTTTTGCAAACCAGCACAGAGCAACTGTGCTTGCAGAGGGCTACATGCGACCAATAGTCGGCTTGTTCCGACAAGGCGAAGCAGTTCACTTTCGCAGGCACCAAGGACAGACGTGCCTCGGCCCGAGCTGCTGGCAGCTCTTGAGGAGTTCTATGCTCTTACCGTCCTGCCCAGATCAGGCAATCACCGTTCAGCAGATCTGTGTCGGCCCCTGAGCGTTGTTTTCGGCGATGTTGAATGAGTAGACTTCCATATTTCATGATACCATCGTACAGATTCTGAGTTGACAGTGGTTGTACGTTTGTGGCTCTAGATCCTTAGAACTGAACCAGAAGCCATCAGGGACCTTTTTTGAAGGAGCCAGCCATGGCTGAGGCTCACCGCCTGCCGATGGACCAATTGCGCCGGTCTGTGCTTCACAGGAGCAGCTGCCCGTGGAGATCCAACATGTCTTGCAGTAAGTGTCACCGTGTGGCGCCATAGACAGGCTTTGGGACAAGCGCGTGCGCATATCGGACATGGAGTACAGAAACGAGCGGTTGAGACTTGGGCAGCTTTGTGCCTGTCCCAGAGATGAGATGTCGGTGAACGCACTGGTAAAGCTTCTCCACCCTGGCGGAACATGACACGGCTAGGCGGAAATCGTTTCAAAGTGGTCCTCCGGAAGGTCCCGCTGAAGGACTTTGAGGCGAGGCCTTCCATCGAGCAAGGCTTGGCCTGCGCGGCCTGCATCGAATCTCGCTGAGGCTCGCGGTGGCGGCCAGCCGCTCAGCGCTTCAGCGCTTCACAGCAACGACCCGGTGCCGTACTGCTCATCGGACGGAGGTGACAAGGCAATTGCTGGTGTCAGCAGCAGCCTCAGCACTTCTCCAAGCATTCAGAGATGCCAAGAGCTCTCAGGCAGGGCTCTGGCAGGAGCACAAAGAGGCCGATCCTGAACGTTGCAGACATGTTATCGGCAATGCGACCATCGCACCCCACCCCGGAAAGCACATAACATGTTAGGCGGTGTAGTTTGCCACCGCTGCTCAATTGATTGCAAGATGACGGATATGAAGAGGGGACGGGATTTGGGCTGTTTCAATGCAGCACGATAAGATTTCGCACGTTGGGAAATGCATATTAGACACTTATGGACATGCGGGACCGTGTCGCAAGATGTCGCAAGCATTGCGTAGAAGTGGAATGGCTTGTGGTTTTCGTTGTGAAACATCGAGGTTGAAAGTGTACTCTCGCTGCTTTCTGTTTGCATCCGCTTCACACACGTGCACGACATCTACTGTTGAACGTTGCCCTGGGCATTTCAAGGTGACGCGGCATACTGTTGTCCGTACATGGCGGGAATAATCGAGCCGCTGCTCTTTGCGCGCCGATGACTTGAAACGATCGCGGCGCTCATGAAGGGGTGCTTTTCGTTTGAGTCCGATGCCAAATTGCCGTGCTTAAAGCGTCGGTGCTGTTCGGTCTCAAATCGCAAAGGTTCAGCACTTCGGTAAGAACTATAGGGACACGACTCTCCTGTTCTATGATTTATGATGATCTGATTCGAGGGGTCGGTTATATACGCATGACTGCGCAGCATGTGTGGGGGCTGGACTTTGTCGTACATCCTGATTTTCTTGACATTCTCATTCATCAACTGAAACCGTGGGGACAGACAATCTGGAAAGAGCATGGGTGTGTTGCGACTTTCTCGCAGCTCGATGCATCAGACCATGATTACGCGGTGAAGTTTGCAGGCCTGTAGTAGCGATGAGAAGGTCACCTTTGTGCTGCAGATTTGAAGTCTTGCAGTGCTTCCCAGCTGATCGGCAGAGTCTGGGTTCAAAAAGGGACACGACTCTACACAAGATGCAGAAACGAACCTGTCGCAAGGCTTCTTGAACTACTTCGGCCTGCAGCGCTTCGGAACGCGCCAAGTGCGGACTCACAAAGTGGCAAAGCTTAATCTTGAAAGAGACATGTTTGCTTCTAGGGAGCTTTGGACTTTGGACAGGTCGGTGCAGCGATCATCTCCGCTGATTGGCAGAAGGTGGCGACGTCGAATTCTGCCTCTTTTTTTCCAGCACGGTGCGGAACGGTGAGGGCAGCTGTGCCATCTGTGCCCCCATGTCCCCGCCATTGAAAAGTGATGCGGTGGGAGTCAGTGGTGTGTGTTTCACGCCACTGCCGGGTCATCGCCGCCGGCTTAACATCACCTGATTACGCTCGTATCCCGCACGCGACTGCCTGCTTAGCAGCATGATGAGAATGAGTTCATGCTCTGATGTGGTCGTCCAAACCTCTTCGCACCACCGCAGATTGCCTGGTGGTATCTTGTTTCATACTTTGTTCTGCGAAACTGTTAATCACATGTCGGACGGGATTGCTGTACACTAACGACATGGACCTGGATGTACAAAACATTATTGTGCAGCAATCCCGTCCGACATGTGATTAACATTCTGCCTCACTTGAAGGATCAATCCGTCTAGATTGCCAGTGAGTTGCAAATACTTGTGATTTGCCAGCCCAAGCTTCCCAACGATGTTGCAGCGATGTTCAACCAAGGTCAGCAAGATCTCTTAACGGATGCATGGTTACTTTAACCTTATTTAATCCGCTTCCAGTGCATCTCGCCACTCATAGACACGCAATGCTTGTGATGGCTTTCATGATCTTTCATGTAGGCGGCAGGTAACTCACTGGGCCTCGTGCGCGTTGGAGCACCGTGCAGGCAATTCGATTGATCCTCGGCGAAGTCGAAACGAAGCCCTGTGCTGGGGGCACAGCCACCACCCTCACAACTGTCTGCGTCACCGACGTGATAGTTTGTTCTGTCTTGCATGTGCATGTAAAGCAGAGGCCAGCATGGGACACAAGCGCTCTGGCGAGGAGGTCGGACGTGAAACTCTTCTCCAGCCGCATTCAGAGCACTGTATATCGCTGGATCATACATGAACCAGGTGCTCGGTCCCTCAAAGAAGCAGCGTTGCAGCTTTGAAGCCGAAGAAGGCATGCGTGCAGTCGGGTCCTCGAAGATCTTGACGACGTCATCTCGTCCCATGTTTACCTGACTCATGCACCACCACGAACAACAGTCAAAGTGCAAACGACGGAGGAAGAGGACGGCGCAAGCCGGAGGCAAGAGGAGAATGAGGGAGAGAAGGAGAAGGGAGGAAAGGGTGACGGAAAGAGCAGCAAAGGCAAGCAAAAGGCTGCCGCCTCATCCTCAGAGCGGGCAATGGCTGCATGTGCCTTCAACGTAACCGTGCCGAGCAAATAGCGGTTCAATGCTTCGATTCAGGTCTTGGAAGCACAGCGTCTTTTTCTTGCACTGGTCTGAGTGCAAGTGCAGATTGCAGTCCTCTCGAGAGCTCTGAGGGGTTGGTTGCATTGCATAGACAGGAAGATGGAAATGCTCAGCAGGCACTTGAAGCCATGCATAGGGCTCAGTGCTTGTCGCCGCCAAACGAACGCATTGAGTCTCGGCTTGCTCAGGCCACGCAGCTTCGGTCTTAGACGCTTGGGAGTTGCGACGGTTGCGATTTGTGATTCGCTAATCTGGGCTTCCTAGGTCAGCATTTGGAGCGATGTCTTCTTGGTGCTCTTGCTCGTGGCCTGTCGGATGCCATGACCGCAGACAGGACGTGTTGCCACATCCGCATCGATGGTGGCTGGAGGCAGACACGTTGAGCCAATTGCCTCACCAGGCGGCCGATGCCCAAAAAAAATCTCCGAATTTCTTTCCCTCTCACAGTGAACGCTCGCCGGCCCGAGGTCTCCCTCTATGCTCACGCAGCTCAGAGCCTGCTGTGGAACGCGGTCTTGTCCCGAAGGACCAACTGACCTACTGCCGCACCACTTAGACTCAGGTAGGTGTCAGTGCATCCTACAAGCGCAGCCTGATAGGATCCGCGAGTTTGGGCGAGAGCCTCGCATCGGCCGACCTTGCAACATTGAGAAGTCATGACAGTGGAGCCGGTGCGAGCTGTGACGTCGTGCCTCTCTGAAGTTTACACGGCAATCACAAGTTACACTATATCAGCAGTGCCTCGCGAAAGTCACCAAAGTGCTTGTACCCCTGTGTTGCCCTTGCCCGGCAAATCCTGAGGCGACATGGCAGAACATGAAATACATGCTTCGGCTGCAGCTTTGCAGGCGAGGCTCAAGGCTTTGGAACCGTCTGCCGCATGGCAGGAGACCTTGTCATGGTGGCCACAGCCGCGGGCCAGGCACATCCTCTGGAGATTTTCTCTCGAAGGGGTGCTTGTACATCTTTGTGATAGGCCGGTGGCACAGGCTTGCCCGGCGAACTGGACGTGCTTGCCATAGCAAAGTCCCCGTGCCCTCTTCTAATCCTGAGTTCTGAGTTCCGCAGTGCGCTTCGCAATTCACGCCGTCCAAGGATGCGAACGAAGTGCTGTTCGACGAGGTCGAAGAGCAGGCGAGCCGATGGCCGGTCCATGAGTCACGTGCAGAATCTCGCACAAGGCAAGCAGTCTATCATAGTCATAGTGTATCGTTTGTAATCTATCGAGAAATTTGGCTCTTGCGGTCCAAGCCGCCCAACCCCTCTCCGTGGCCAGCTGCAGGCCTGGAGTTGATGTCCTTGCATGTGCTTGCTTCGTTTGGCACGTGTAAACATGCATAGCTTCCAGGTATGGCAGCCAAGCCTACCGTTCATGCTTGTAGCTTCGGTGATCCACCGGATCCTACCAAAATCACAACATATCCTGGAGTTGCTCGACGTGCCTCGGCTCGGATTTCGCAGAGGAGTGCATTGGTTTCCCGTGATAGACGTTCGTCCTAAAGGTTATCTTCCTCATGAAGCATTGATCATCTACAGGCCGGTATGTTCACAAGTGACCCAGTGAATCTACGTGCCGAAAAACAAGCCGTGCCTGTCACAGGGAGAAAATCTATGCGGAGAGAAAGGCCTGGCAATGAGCCTTCGACGGGGGTTCCGTGAAGCCGTTCACGGTGCAGGCCTACCAAACGCCATCTGGAGCTCGTTGGTTCAAGGAGCAGATCCTTGCTCGGCTGCTTAGTTGGAAAGATTTCATGCCCGGTTTACCAGGAGCATAGGCGCAAGCAGCGAGAGATGGAGAAGGTCGAGAAGCAGATCAAAGATTTCAGAGAGTCTCGCAGGCCTGTCATGCAATGCTTCAGCGTTTTAGCACTGCCTTGCCCGAACTCGCTAGCAGCTAGCACACAGCGCACATCAAGTGGCTTCATACTCATGCTTGAGCCTTGATTTCGGGCCATCCAAACACTGACTGCTCCTGACAGGGAGTTTGTGCGGAGCCTGTCCTTGCCCAGCATTTCTGCGAGGGAGCAGTGATGGTGCTTGAGGAGCGGGGATTGTAGCTAGTGGCAGCTGACAGCTGTTGCGGTGCACAGTCGAGTTCAGAGCGCTTGTTCTTGTCATGGTCGAAAGGCAGCCTGAAAGGCAAGCTGAGAGCTGTATGCTGCGCCTCAAAACGAGCATCCGTCACATGTCGGTTGGGCTGCAGTGCTAGCAGCAGCATGCCATTATTCCATCAGGGGCTCAGCAAAGCTGAGGAGTGACCAGCCAAGCCACAAAGTGGCAGGCACATCACCCCCGCTCGTGTTGAAAAGTCCAGATGTGCGGAACTGTTCTGCAGACCGCTCTAAGATGTCTTGCCCTAAGCGTTCATGTATCTGTCGCGGTCCATCGCCGCAATGGACTCAAGGTAGGCCTCTTTCTCCGCAGTCCCCGGAGAGAGTTGCCGTTGATTAGCCAAGCCGAGGGACCGCACCGGGACGGCCGGGACGCTGATGACGAATGCCTTGAGTGGGGTGCCTAGCCCCTTCCGTGCAACCAGCTTCCTACAACGGCTGCGGCAGTCCTTCAGGCTAGAAGGACCTAGGCGAGACGACGGCGGCGGCGAATCATCTAGCACCGATGCGAGAAAGAAGGACCATTGTAAATGGTCGCTGCCTCGATATGGGACTTTGCGCAGATCTTCTTCGAAGGGACCCCCACCAACCCTACTAGCAGCCCGACAGCGCGACACAAGCCCACGAGCGAAACCTGGAAGTCCGCAGGCAGGTGCCAAGGAGGCACAGGTGACTGGCAGCGCGACGAGGTGAGGTACCTTCCAGAAACTTCGGGGTTAATGTACGGCGGGGGCAAATGGCAACTGCTTAACTTTCGCTTGCCGTGACAACTTGGACCCCTGAAGGCCTGCTGCAGGAATTGCTGGCGCACGTGGTTATCGAAAGCAACAGGTTCAGTTTGCTTCAGTGGACGGGGACTGCAACATGTCTTTGCCTGGTGGCTTTCGAAAAAGCCGCAGAACCAGGACAATACACACATGGCTAGGTGCAATGTTGGATGCCTCTGAGGGCGGACTTGATGCAACGATGGAGCCAAGCTCACCGCTGCCGTCTGGAAAGTCTTCGAGGTCTCTGCGTACACCAGGTGATGCTTCGGCAAGATCAATGGGCTTGTGCAGCCCACCAGGCAGCCCAACGACTGACACCGTCACAAGCATCATCACACTCCTCAGAGAGTATTTCTTTACGAATGTGGATTTCGATGGCTCGGGACACCTCTCGCGCCAAGATCTTTTTGACCATATCCGAGAGCTTCTGGAGAAAGATGCCGGCAAGATTCTCACAGATGATGATCTGGAGCTGCTGGGTGAAGTGGAGAGATGTCGTTTCTCAGAGATGGACCTAGGTCTTGAAGGCCAACAGGGCTTGGGTGTCTACGAATGGGTTCACTTCATCATGCTGCGTGCATCAGCTCCCAGCCATGTGGCAGCCAAGCACTTGAACCGAGACCTTAGAACTGCTCTGGAAGATGAGCCTGAGCTTCTCAAACGGTTGCATGCTACTTTTGAGGCAGCAGACTCTGAAGGCGATGGGTTGCTGCGAAGCGACGCGTGGCAGCAGGCGTTCGAACCACTAGGAGTGCAAGCACCAGAGCAGGCCGAATTTGACAGAGAAGAGGATAGTTTGGCAGGGGCACTGAGCTCTTTGGCTCTACGATTTGTTGATTTGTTGCTTGTAGTTTTCTTGCAGTTGTTGTTTCATGAACCCAAACGCTCCCAAGCGTATCAAAGGCTACTACGAGTTCGTTGCCCACGCTTTGGGCTTGAAGGCCTCGGTTGTGGAGCTTGCGCTCTACGATCTCTCGAAGGGTGTGGCTCAATGGGTGCCTGCATCGCTACTCGGGGGACACAGCTTTGACGGCGTGTGGCATTCTGGGCTTCGTGTCTTTGGCAAGGAGTTCTGGTTTGGCGGCGTTATCTTGGAGTCTGAGTTCACAGACGTGCCGTTCGGTGCACCAACCCGGATATTGAGGCTCGGAACAACCCTTCGCACACACGAAGATTTGGTTGAGTTTTTGAAGGAGGACGTCTATGTAGATTACAATCCCAAAAGCTATGACGTTCTTCGCCGCAACTGTAATCACTTTTCCAACGAGCTGGCACAATTCTTGCTTCATGGCAAGCAGCTTCCTGAAGAAGTTCTCTTGCAGCCAGAGTGGGTGAAAAACGCCCTTCTGGTCAGCATCTTCCATCCTGCCTTGAACCGCTGGCTCGGTGGATTCGGTGATGCCTTGACAGGCCGCGAGGGATATGATGGAGATCTGCGAGCGCCGCAAGCCGTTAGTCGCATTGACGACATGACGGAGGAGTGGCGGCATCGCCTTCAGGTAGGAGATCTTGTGATGCATCGGCGGCGCTTCATTGATCGACCACGCGTAGCTCGCTTGCTAGATATTTCCAGCCCGGACGAAAGTGGACGGCGCGTGGCAGAGATCAAATTCCTGAGGCCGACAGCCGTAGAGAGATTGGAGGACCTCTCAATAGAGTCACCTCCGTGGGCATGGGAGATTGTTAGAGAGTCAGACGTGCCTCTGCGCCAGTTTTACCCAGTTCTTGAAGATTCCGAAGGCGGAGCTCGTATTCTTAGAGCCGGAATGGCCATCCGAGACTCCAGGGCACGGCAGGTCTTGCGGAGATCTCGCGAGTTTCCGGCACAGCCGGCTTGTGCAAAGGGGCATCCATTGAAGTATCAGCAAACTCCCGGCAACTGGTGGGCTTCACTTAGAGCATGCTCGATTTGTGCCAGCTCTTTGCAGGGCTCAGAGCCACCACTCTTCTGTGCTCAGTGCAGTTTTGCTCTTTGCAGACGATGCTGTGATCAAGCCTCGCAGATGCCGTCGGGCGGTGTCTTCACAGACATGTTAACTCCGGAGCTTGCCAAAGCATTGTTGGAGGACGAGAGTTGGCTGGCTTTCAAGTCGCGTTCTTACTTTTTTAGGGCAGACCATCATTCGACTGGCGCAGTCGACAAAGCAAAGATCAGTCGGGTAGATGCCCGCGTGGCTGCGGAACTTGGAGTGAAGCCGCTGGCAGAGAGTGAGCTCTTGAAGGAGCTTCAGAGGCTAGCGCCGAGGAGCAAGGGCAAGGCCTTGCAGCTTAATGAGGCGAGCTTTCAGAGTTTTTTCGCAGCAGTACTATCACGTGGCCTGATGCTTCTGGCATCTGGAAAAGAGTGGCGGCCATGCATCCGTAAGCGCTGCAAACCGCGTAACCGGACGCACAGTGCAATTGCAGATGAGATTGAAGCCCACTTGCCTAAGGCAGTGGATGGATGCTAATTATCACGGCTTACAGCCGTTTCCTGTCTCACCCCAAAAGTTCGGCATCACTGTCCAAGTACATCTTCGAGATCCCCAATATACTTTAGTGTGACCTCATCGTGGACAGATCCGATGCCGTGCATGTTCACGAGGCCAGCATTACACTTGAGACCATTAGCTGCTGATCGGCATCCAATGGTCGAGGCGAGATGCCGCAAGTGCTCGCTCGCTATGGCCTGGGCCGCATGCCATGCAGCATGTGGTGCAGGGTGGGATCGTGACTTGCAGGGATGAACGTTCTTTTGCTCCGATGCCTGCACCACTGCATGGCTGCAACAGAAAGGCATGCCTAGGAAGTCAATGTACAGAATCATAACATTTGTTGCATGTTATGAGCTTGCGTGCGTAGTCTTGTTTTATTGGTACCCGCAAAGCCCATAGTGGTCATTGATCGTGGGCAGCTTGCATCCAAGACTACGTAAATTCGTGACAAGTTCAAAGGCAGTTCTCGAAAGGCTGTGGGGAGCAAATCGCTGCAATGGCACTCTCAAACTTCTAGATCAAAGATTCAGCAGTTCGTAGACCAGACCAGCGCTGCCTACACGCATTGCTTGCTTCGGGCAGGAAGCAGACTTGTCGGAAGACGAGGGCCAGGAAAGCCGCAGGGGTTTGTTTTACCCCGAGCAGCGCAAGACCATATTTGCCAGGACGCCCACGGTCTTCCAAGTGTGCCAGATTCCTAGTGCCTCAAATTATTTCAGGTTGTCGGTTTGGTCTGCGAAGTGGCTATTGCAGGCGGGCACTCACAGGTGAGGATATCTCTGCTGCGAAATTTGCGGCCGTGTCTCCAGAAGTCCAGTTCGGCATTTGTATGAGTCGATGCCCCAAGCCCAAAAATAGGACATCGTACTTCCTCTTCCTGGCTCTGAGGCGGGGGCCTGTGAGATGCCCGATCTCCGAAATTGTCTAGTCTTGTTTCTCGTTGCATGTGCAAGGTGGTGTATCCGGAGTACCTCAAAGCTATGTATGAGGAAGCATGATGCCGTCAGACCTTGGTGGGATCTTGCATGGATGCAGGAAATGTCAGAGACACTGTTGGGATTCCCCCTGGATCACTTCGCATCCTGCAAGTTGGTGCCGCAGGCACCTCAGTGACTCAGTCAGTCGCCGCAGCTTGTCTCAGCACGACGACAGGTCTCCTGGTCTCTGTAATGTTGCTATGATCTGAGGCTGAAGGGTTCGTATCGCCATGCTTCAGTCTGCGCCGCGCCCGGAAACAGTGTGGAGCAAAAGAGCAGCAGCATGAGCCAAGGCCCAAAAGACTTCGAGTGGCGAACCGTGGTCCCGGACTGGTTCAAGCTGCCTCGCAGCCTTGAGCGCAACATTCGGGTGTGTGCCAAACATGGGTTGAAGGAGCCGCACTCAACATCGGCATGGACCTCAGGTACTGTTGTGGCAGATGACGCGACGTATTCATAGTTGTTGTTCGGTGCAACTTCCAGAATCCAGCCCTTGCAATCGCAGAGCTGCAGTTCGGTGCGTGAGACCGGATCGCGCGGACAGACAGTTTCTTCTGTGGTGGCTGACCTGAGGCATTGCAAGACAGCGATGTGGCGAAGCTGCTCCGGGACAGACCGGTGAATGTTGAGCATGCGCCTCATGGAGTCCCGAGCAGACCGTCGCAGGTCGCGCTCGACAGACTTGGCTCTACATGGGTTTGACGGCTATCCTCGTTTTCCTTTGGAACGAAGCCGATACCATACCAAAACCGACATCAACTGCCAGCAAGGGTCACATATCCAAAGGCACCCCAAACGCGATCCACAACACACCGAAAAGCAAAGCCAACAATGAAAACAACCAAGCAAACAATGCTCAAAAAATCCTGAAAGAAGCATCGAGTGGTTGGTATCTAATTCAGGAGATGTCAGGATGGTCCGTTCTGGCGTTTTGCTTTTTGGTATCATTGCTGTTTTGGAGCGTCTTTGAAAGTGTTTTGGAGAACTTGTTGTTGCCGCAGAGAATGTATTTCTGTTGACACACAGCCAAACTGGAAAGTGCTTTCCTTGTTGGCTATTTCGTTTTCTTATTCACACACCCTTTGCCGTTACGAGTGAAGTAGCGAACGAAATGAGACCATCATAACCTAAAGACTGAACAAAAGCAAGCGCGCCAAAGGGTTCGCCTGGTTCGTCTTCAACGATATAAATTGCAGTCGAACAGTTCGCTCCTTTCCAGAATCGCATGGAGACAACAATGCGGGCGACGTATGCAGGCCTTGCTTAGTTGTAGGACAGCACGCCACTGAATGAAACTAAGGTGCTGTGTTTCCTCTTATCTTCGTTTCTTCGATTGCTTCACTCATTCTTCGTGCCTCATTTCAACAGACGCGAAGCAATGAGAGAAAAGGGAACACACAATCCCATTGTGTCTTGTCCGTGTGCTTCCTGCTTATTCATAGTGGAGAGAAGTGTAAGCAAGAAACATGCAAACATTGCAGACATTCGCTGTAGATTGTCATTGATCCCCAATATCATGAAATTTGGAAGGTGAGGAGTGCGCGGCCTTTTTCGTTAACAGCAAATACAACCACAGGAACTCACCCAGAAGTTCAATATGTTCTGCCCTCTGTTTCTGTGCATGAGTAATTATGTGTATAACACACGGCAATGCCTGTAATCGAGACCGTTGTCGCAAACAGTCGGGGGCTTGCTAGATGTCCAAGCCTACACTTACAAAACACGCACCCTGCATTTTCGTTTGGGTTTTGAAGCCCATGTCGGTCCACTCACTGGAAGAACATCTTTTCAGCAAGTAGATAATTGGACCTTGGTCCGCTGCGCTAGTTTAAATCTTCAACTTAAATCAGGCACTAGTGCAAATAAAATGAAAGAAAACATACGCCTAGTTCGCAGTCTCCATGTAGTTGTGGTGCCGGGTTCACTCGCTGGCTGTTGTTCCTCGTCCTCGTTGTTTTAATATACTCCAGTGCGGTGCGTGCTCTCATCGCTAGGAGAGCGGAGATTGATAGCTACCTAGCTTCTGGTTGCGTTCTTGTTCTGCTACATCACAGCCTGACATCCGGCTATCTACTTTTGTTATTGAAGTTCAACTCACGCAAGCAAGAGCATGCAGCACACAGTTTACACCCTCAAGCCTTGCATCGGTATGTCTCACACAGCAGACTTAGCTCGGTATGTGTGCTGCATGAAGACGGCTGTGCACAGCATGCATCACACAACATGTTCTTTTTTGTAATTGTGTTGCAAAGAGTGTGCGAATCTGAACATTGAGGCTTCGTGAAGGGGTGGCTACTGCCCCAGTCACGGGACATGAAGCGGAGAACTCTTCGTCGGAGGCTAAGGGATCTGGCTAGTGTCCATGCGCGTGCTGAAGCTGAATCCCGTACGGCGACTGCGAATTCAAACCCATATTCCGCATCCCTTTCAGAACAAAGGGGCTTAACCTCGTGCACCAAACTACATGCGAAATGGGTGGGTCTGCCCGCTTAAGAGTTCCCAGAAAATAGGGAACTGTGCAGTCACGAGGGGTGGGTGTCCGCGACAAGACGCTTGTGCCCTGAGAATGAAAGAAAGAGTAACTGTCAGAAGAAGCCAGAGCACAAGCACAAAGAGGAATCCAGGGGTTTCAATCTTTGTCCAGGCCTAGTGCGACAACAGATGCAGCTGAACCTGGCACAGGGGTTGCAGCCTGAGGCAACCCATCTCGTGCTCGCTCTGAGAAGCAAAATCAGAGTGGCAGAGCATGTGAAGGTGTGCCGAATGTCCAAGGCAGTGATTTTCAGCTGTGTCCTTCCTCCGTCGTCGTATTTGCGGACGCCTTGGCATGCTAGTGGAGCTCGAAATTGCAAAGTCCCAGATTCAGTACTGCAATAAGGACAATGTTCTTGAGGGAAGTCATGAAGCAAACCACTGCTCCGCCGACTCAGTGAAAACTGCGGCGCCCGCTGCCAGTTGTTGAGTGAACACGTGTAACACGCACACACACACACACAGACAGAGACACACATTTACTACTTATGTATTCATCCGCAGCTTCCAACCTTTGGTCTTTAGATCTGAGTGGAGCCTTGCGTGTTGCTCCAAGATTTATAAGAGTCCTCACATATCCGGCAAGTGCAAAGCAGCACAGAAATAGGGGTACTTTGTGCGGCCATCTCAGCAGGCATGTGGTTCCAGTGTCCCGGCCCCATATCGGCACACTCTGAAGAGCGTCTTGGTCAGATGCCTCTTCAGGTGTGGGGCATCCCCCTGCAAAAAGCGAAAGCACTGGGTTCCACACATACACGAAGCCGTGCAGGCGTCTTTGCTTGCCATGCCGGTTCGCAGGTCAAAGACGCAGCCCCGTCATGCACGATGCCCTTCGACTGCATCGTCCGTGGTACGGGTCCTGCCCCGTGGCTTGGGTGGTGCGGTAGGGTGGTGCAAAATGAGTCAAATTGTCTTGTCTTGTCAACAGGCTCCCGGTACAATCTAATCAGCAATCTAATCTTGGCGGCACAGGGAGCCCGCCGTCTGGTGTTCCATGGTGGGAATGGGGTCCTGTTCCTCAGCCGGACACAAGTAATGGCTGTGACCCCCCAGCCGCACTGACAAGTGCCCAGGGAAGGCCAACCATGGAATCCGGCCAACCATGAACTCCAAGTGCACCGCGTCCGGTTCCAATATCCACGCTTGCCAATTTTCCGAGTAAGCAGACACGTAATCTCTGTCATGCTACTGTTGCTCGCTGGCATGCTACATTCATCTGACCATCGCTGGCATGTAGCAACAGTAACAAAATGTAGCAACAGTACGCGGGCCGTGCAGAGCAAAGGAGAGCGAGAGTGAGAGAGGATTGTCGTGTTCACAGTCGTGGTTGAAATACGCATGCAGAAGTTGTTCGGTGTTTTGTTGGCAGGTAGTGGTGCACGGCGGGAATTGCAAGCCCACGGGGATGACAGCCATATAGGGGTGCGGGGACGAGGCCTGAGTCGGTTGTGTTGGTGTTCGGGGTCGGCTTACGCTGTTGCCCGAAAGCCAGCGCTCCAAAGCGCTGGGGGCGGATGGGTGGGTGGGTGGGTGGGCCGATGGCCTGAGGGTCGCATGACGACCCCTAAGCCCAGCAGAAAGACAGAGAGAGACGGATGTGTGGAGCCTCCGCTCTTTTGAAGCATTTCGGAGACTTAGGTATGCTTTGCAGACAGCCCGGGGGGGACGGAGAGTGTGACCCCGAAGAAGCACGTCGAACTGTCCTCGGCCTATCTCAAGCAACCTCTAGCTAAGCCGGTTGACCGATCGCAGGTGCGGGGCCTGAAGTTAGACAGATTTAGGCATCAATTGCTTGTCCTAGTCTGGCTTCAATCTGCAGAATTTTTTCGTGTTGTGCAAGTAGCGGAGAGACGCCAGCTTGATGCAGAATTAAAGTTTGCATTTCGGGCTCTGTCCGGTGGGTGGAGCCATCATGCACAAATGGTTGGCCAGGCTGGGTGGGTTGGAGCACGATGTCAAGTTCAAGTTCTAGCTGGTCACACCAAAGATTTGCCCTGACTGTGAAGGCCATGCGCAGGTTGCGCCATCGAAGTCTTCTGTCTTGGGCTTGGCGGAGAACGGGAGGTAGCAACCCACCTGTTTCGTAACACCAAGAATGCAGGGGTTGCGAGAAGCGCGTGACACGTTCAGTCGGCAACTTCCCCGTGCAGACTTGGGGGATTGTTCGGGCCAAAAAGGCGCACGCCTGACTGCTGCTGTTACTTCCGGCGGTCTGTGAAATTGATGCACGCATGCACAAGCTCTGCTCGGCAGCCAGTTTGCTAAATGTCCTGATTTCCCACCACAGTGCCCGCGCACATGCTTGGGAGATCGTGTTGTGAATCCCAGTCTGTCAGTCCAGATTTCCACAGTGAAGGCCGGGCCTTTCGCTGACAAGATACGGTTGAGGGCAGTCTGAGTCGGGGCATGTTCACGCGCCAATCTGGCCAAACCTGGGTGCACAACCAACAGGGGCGAAGGCCCTACGAAGACGGAAATAAAGAGGGTAAAGAAGAAAAGGCAGTCTTGCGGTTGAAGTGGTTGTGAGCTTGATCATGGTACGCGTGGAGAGTGAACCCTGTAATGCATGGGCATCCTGCGTGACACCTTGCCCTGCAAACCTGAGTACCACAACAGCAGGCTGCCCATTCGCACATTTCTCGCGCCTCTGACAGACAATCGACAGAGTAAACAAAGGATTTAAAGTGGAATGCGCATGTCACACCGTCTGTTCGCAAGTTTCAGCCGAGGTGTGTTTCCCACGCACATAGCAAGGTTTTGGGGTGAAAGATGGGCGCGTGATGATGTGCCTGGTAGTCTCGTGAGCCCCGCTCGGACAAGGCGCCAAGGTGCGAGGGCAGCAGGGAGTTTACCGGCTTTAGGTCGACATAGATGGAAAGGTGTGCGTGACCGGCTTTTGGAAATCGAAAAGGCTCGTAAGATCCAATTCACTGTGTTCGCGCAAGTTTCGCGAAAGCCGCGAAAGGAAACCAACAATCCGGTAAGAAGCCATATCAGATGAACGAGCATCATCGGGCATTGACCAACACTTACGTCAAGGACTGCCCTGCGCTCTTACAGACGAGTATTGCGCAAGGAGCAGCTGGATCCGTGCTTCCAGACAAAGTCATAGAGTCATACAGTCCACGACTTTCTCAGGAGCTGGCCGCAGGCGCTGCAACTGACGGAGTAAGCTTGCGGCGTTCTGCGCCCAAGTAGTATCGACGACAGGATTGGGCTCCGTTCGGCAGATTGTCAGAGAGGAGCTGGATCGGGAAAGCAATGCCAGCGACACCGCAGCGGCCTTAATCGACAATTGCCGGTGCCGCAGCTGAGTTGAGTTAGAACGGGCTGATGCGGCAATTGGCCACCTTTCTCTTTGCAAGGAGGAAGAAGAGCAGGATGATGAAGGTGCTCGGTTTGTTGAAGTTCTGTCATAAGTGAAGTGCAGCTCTTGACCAAGCAGACGAAGAAGAGTGGAAGCTTATCATCTGCGTCCGCTATGTGCAAGCCTTAGCAGCCGTAGCATTTGTAAAAGTTTGAACTTGAGCCGCAACTCAAACGCACGGCGTCTTGCAGGATCTCAACATGTCCGTCGGGAAGGTTGCTGCTCAGGCTGAGCTCTCGCGATATCTCTCGATCATGTGGTGTTGGTTCAGGGCCTTAAGGATCTGTGTCTTGCAGGTGGGCCATGCAGTACACCACTCTGTGACCCACTCTGCGCCAGATCCTCACATCTCACGCTTTCTCTTGAACTTCTTGGCCGGTTGCATTTGCGAATTGAGCCTCATCGACTGCGAGTTCGTATGTATGACCTGCATGGGTTGGCAATAACTGGATGTTACTACTTGTAGAAGTTTTCGATGGAGCACCACGGGGGTGTGCCACTGGTAATGTCAATCCTTGTGTTGCTGTGCGTCTTCATCAGGTGGCGCGATCTCAAAGATTGGGAAGAGCCGGAGCCCCACATCCCCGAGTCGGAGTCGTTGGATTTTGTTCTTGCAGCCTCCCTGGAGTTAAAGATTGGCATGATTAGGTCAGGATCGAAGAAGGTCACGTTGAAGACAGACAGCCGCGGCCCATGTTGGTGTCGGCGGAAGCATGGTACATCATGGGCGAACGTCAACGGAACTTTGTCTAGCATCCTGGGCCGGCATGGGGCGTCTCTGCCTCGTTTGGAGAGCGTAAAGCAAAGCGGCAAGAAACACTGGGTGTGATCGTACAACCACTTCGCCAACCTGTCAACGCACGTGGATACCTTGTAGTCTAACCCAGATAGAGAGAACCCAGATATGTGTAGAGGACAGTAGAGGAAACCGACAAACCTGAACGGAGATCACAGCGCTCTTTCGGCAGAGACATCCAACTTGGGGAGATCTTCCTGTGTAGACAGCGATGAGAAGATAAACTGTTTTTGCTCTCTCTCCTCTCTCTCTCTCTCTCCAGTCCCGCTGAAGGCCGAAGCCTCAAGCCTGACACGTGAATAGGCAGTAGGCAAGGGTTTGAAGATGATTCGGTAGCGATTGGGTCGCCGCGTCTTGGGCATTGGTGCAAAGCGCGCGCTGGCAAAATAAAACGACCCCTCGACACTCTGTGGTCAGAGTCAGCCCACACCAGATGTTCGAGGAACTGGTAACAGAAGGAGCTCGTCAGAAGCTCAAAGATGATTTCGTCGACTTGGCGCGAATGGGCAAGCCAGCAAGCCAAAGTGTCATGCCAGCCTCAAATCGTAGACGAGCTCACGAAGTTTTCGTCACAGTCCCAGTGGGAAGAGGCCTGCAGCCTTCTCGCAGAGCTGTCGCACGCCCGCATCATGCCTCACCCTGTGTATTTCGCAACAGCAACTGCGGCCTGCGCCAGGGCTGCATCATGGCGACAGGCACTTTTGCTCGTACAAGCTATGGGCGGCACACGCATTAGCCCCAACATAGTTGTGCATAACTCCGCGATAAATGCATGCACAAGGGCCAAGATGTGGCAACAGAGCCTTGAAATCTTGACTTCGCTGAGCTCTGAAAGCCTGGAACCCAGCACCATCACGTTGAATTGCCTGATTACAGCTTGTGAAAAAGCAGCGAAGTGGCAGCAAGCTTTGCTCCTTCTCTCTTGGGCCGGTACGGTGATGCTGAAAGTGGACACGGTCACTTTCAATTCAGCTCTAAGCGCTTGCGAGAAAGGGAGCCAGTGGTTGCCCGCGTTGAACTTGCTGCAAGAAATGGGCATGGCAAGCGTCGAAGCCGATTCCATAAGCAATAGCGTTGCACTGTGTGCGTTGGAGCGAAGCCACAGGTGGCAAGAAGTGTTGCAACTGTATCGGCAGATGGGACCACTTTCTGCAAACCAAGCCCCTGCTGTTGGCCTGGCCATTCGTGCCTTTGACCAGCAGCTGCGGTGGCAGGCCGCAGGAGATGTTCTCCGTGAC